AAGCTCGATTCTGAAATTAAATTTGGTCATAACAGTACTTCAGAATATTATTTTAGCAAAAGAGAATTTTCAAGTACAATGCGATTACATTACCATTAATAATTCTAATATGATGTATGAAGGAGGGCCTACTTATTTTTCCTAGTTAAAAATTTGAGCCTATCCGTACACATTAACAAATAACCTGAACTTCTGTAAGGTTTATAAAGAAAACAGATTTAAAACTCTATTTTAAATTGCATATATTTATAATGCTATAATTAACCTAATATAGATGGGAAACCAACAGCAAGTGATCAAATAAGACATCTCTGGATTCAGCGCAATATCGCATTACTTGACCAACCAAGCAGAATCTGAATTATTAGAGATTGCAGCGAATTCTATAAGACATGTTCCAAAAGTAGACACATTAATGAAGCTGATTATATGGGATTTGAGTACAACACCAGATGTAGCCCTATGGATCCATATTTAACCAATGTTTTGGGTGTTGTTTCGATCAACCAGGGAGACTGTCAAAATTATTCCAGAGAAATTAATGAATAAGTCTGTCAAACGAAGTGTGCATGAAACCTGCAGCAAGAGCGAAGATTTTTCGCAGCAAGCTTCTGGTCAGTAAATAAAATGGCCGAGATAGAAGAAATATGGGATAGGAAATTAGTAAAAATAGACGCGAAGATGAACAGCCAGAGTGAATTTTAATGATAAAACTAGGATATAAGGGATTTGATCCAGGCCCTTAAAATAAGTGAAATTACAAAACTCAGAATCTTGTTTCTGACGTATCCACAAGGCAATTATTAACAATATACTCAGTTTGAGGGTATAAGGAATAGCAACAAAAGTCGACGAAGAACTATGAAGATGAGTGCGATACCGATGCCAATCGCGCAAACCTGTGCGGCCCTAACCTGGGGATCCCAGGTCACCGGTGAACGGACCTCCTGTACACAACCTCTGCGACGAGCCTCTAACATAGCCATCAGGCGACTTGTTGAGAAAGTTGGTTCTGCACGGATAGGTAATGCCACAGATGTGGGTGTATCTGAATTTTGAGTTGGCTTCTGAGCAAAAACCAAG